GGAACCCAACATTGTCATGCAAATTCCCCACGCCCATACCCAAGCCCACGCTCACGATCACTTCCTGGATCACTAGAACTCATCAGTCCATGCGTACCTTGTCACCGGTATCGCCAAATTTCATGATTCGGCCTATTGCCTGGTGCAACGTCGTGCCGCCCCGCCATCGGTCAACACCTTGTTTGTCAGTCACCGCAGTTGTGGTAACACAACTCTATAGTGTTTCTCGCTGCTGACTTTCTGCTTCTGCAGTGATATACGACTCAGGAAAGACCCAAATTTTGTCCATCTGTCATTTGACAGTTTCGTCCCCCCTCCAAAGCGCCACTTGTCGCCTTCTTCTGCGCTATCTTCCATCAACTTCCTTGATGCCGTGAAACACCTTCGCTATATGACGTTGAGCGCCATTGGCTAGTCTGATTTCAACATTGCCCAAGCCTGTCAACTACCGTCACAAGATGGATCTGGGATCGGACATTATACACGACATAATCCACCCCACAGCAGCCTTCACGGACGTCTCTCTGTCAGAAGTCGAGCACCATGATAGTAGCATCCCACATCGACTTCCGCCAGCCGATGACTGGGAGCACTCCCAGCTGAATCCCAAAAACCGCATTGACAGCCTCGACCCCCTGCCAAATCCTCTGTGGCGCATCGATGGCTGTACTGGACTCGGGACGCAATTCTACGTCCTTCCTACGTTTCTCTTTCCAACGCCGCCGCTGCGTCTCGATGCCTTTGTACCAGAGCAGTCAACTCAAACGCCCGAAATCCGGCAATTATTGGATTTGGATGTGGCGTTCCATACCAAAGATCGCGCCCGAGTTCAAAAGCTGAACATATCCAAGCACATTATTCGGGCTTTACAATTCTGGACAAAACGACTGCCTGACCCAGAAGGGCTCTTACGATCTGTGCCATTTGGCTCCCGCATCGTCTTCAAAGGTATCTCTCTCGATGTCAGAGCCATAGAGATCAATATTGCACCCACGTACTACCTCGAACGTCAACTTCTCTCGGCATCCGCCCTCGCTGAGATGTGGGGACCCGAAGCCCAGATACCGCAATGTATCGACTTGTCCGAGGTTCATGTTGTCGAACAGATCCACGACAGTGTCTGCCTTGTTCAAATCAAAGGTCGCCTCTGGATTTTGAAGACACTGACAAGTTACACCAAGTACTTGTACCATGAGCTTAAGCTTCTGTTGTCAACAATACCACACCAGAACATCATGTCACGTCCCGCACACCTCGTCACAAAGCGTTGCACTTTTGGTAGCAAAGTTGCTGTCATCGGCTTTACTCTTGAGTATCATCACTATGGTACTTTAAGAGACATTGTGCCTCTTTCACGAATCCACAACACGATTTCTCAAACAGAACAACTCAAATGGTCAATCCAGATTACGTCGGGTGTACTGCACCACCGTAGAACCTCTGGTACATTCTACCCTGACCTCCGCCTCGACAACATCGTCCTATCAAAGGACAGAGATGCAGTCATGGTCGACTTTGAACAACGCGGGGTGTGGTGCGAATTTGCGTCCCCAGAGATCAATGCTATCGAATACATCCGCATATTAGCTACCGATGACGATATACCCGAGGATACCAGAGATCACTATGCTGACATATTGAGGCGCTTGTGTCCTGATTTCGAGTCTCTGCAAGCAAGAGAGGAGTATACAAATCCAATCAACGGCTACAATATCTGCTGGGCATGTCTCAGCCCAAGGGAGCAGGAGGCATCAGAGGTGTACATGCTCGGGAGAGTATTATGGTGCATCTTTGAGGGAGCTAGCGCACCTCAGCAAGCTGCTGTGTGGCAGTCCTATCGCTGGGAGACCGACGTCGACTTTCCTGCCTTTCTCAGAACGCCACCGATACTACGCTCGCTCATCGACCGTTGCACAAGTGGCCGTCGTGCCACCTTGGGTGACCAGATCGGTAGAGAGGGCAACAAAATTATTTTCAAAGGTCAGGAGAACAAGACTGAACCCAAGGACATCCGACAAGCTGCTGCGACGTGGTGGAAACGTGAGATAGCGTGGGCCGAGAGTTTCATGGCCATGAGAGACCACTCAAAATCGAGCGGAGAATGGAGCGAGAACCACTTCGACAGACCTAGCTTACAGAGCGTATTAGATGAGCTAGAGAAGATTCGGGATGAGCTATAAACAGGAACAGACACCGGGCCAAAGATGGCTTTGCAAGGGCTGAAACAGAACAGAACAGAAAAGATGTATACACTTAGAAATGAACGACTCGGGGATAGATAATGGTATTTATTGTATTGCAGAACAAGAGAGGAGAAACCTCAGAAATATGAGATGCCTGGACAAGTACCCAATTGACCAAAGTCACTGCCTAGAGACTTGGCGCGCTACATCCTCTAACAATCATGCAATCTAAATGAGAAACAAGATCCGTGGGAGTACAGGTAGTGTCAAGGGGATATACATGAACATGATAAGTATAGATAAAGGGAGTGAGTGTCACAGACACAAGAGTGAAGAGAAATATGGTAAGAGACTTGTCCTCCCCAAGGTCCAGAGAAACGCTCTGTGCTTCCCTATCTTTCCATCTTCAACAAAAAAGGATGCAGTGTAGGAATATGGTCCCGTGGACGTTTGCGTGTACTCCCACGTCACCTCATCCTCTTGGATCCCCGATCATGGCTCTGACTCTGTCCGTGGCGTTTCGACCCCGCCCCAGGCGAACTTGTGATGGCTAAGCCGCTGCCTCCAGACCTCCTCAGCCGAGCAATGAGGGAGCGGAATTTTTCGACGTAGGTGGCCGGCGCACCGTTGACGCCCAGCTGGTCCAGGATGTCTTCGAGGCTGTGGAGGAATGGCGCCGCCGCGTCGGGAGGGAGGAGACTCAGTACCCCGAGGACGAAGTCTTCGTCGCGGTCCCCGACGAGGCGGAGGAAGAGGTTCTTGTCTCGACGGGCGATGGCGGCGGGCCTCGTCGTCGACGTCGGGGACACGAAGTCGCGGTTCCTCTCTACGACGGCGGCGAGGATGTGTACTAGGGTGCGGGCGGCGCTTGTTCGCTCCTGGGGTTCTAGGGGCCGATCGCGCTTAAATATTGAGGTGCGGACGAGGCCTATTACACCGCTGATGTGTCGTGCGGCCCAGGCTACGTCACGAGGGCCCTCTGCTGAGCCGCCTTCTGAGGAGGGGATGGTGGTGGAGGTGGTGGCGTAGGAGTCGAGTTCGCGCAGAACGCGGTCGACGCGCTGGGAGAGCTTGCGAAAGGGGTCGTTGACGGGGTCTGTAGAGCGCATCTGGGAGAGGAAGTAGTGGAAGAAGTCGTTGTTGGCGAGAAGCATGCGGAAGATTGTGCCCTCGAGGTCGCGGCGCTTGACTGGTTTCTTACCCGTGGAGGGCGGATTTGAGCAGAGGTCTGGGCGGTAGTCTTCAGGAGAGGACGAGGACATAACAGCTGAGAGCATCTCGCGTGCTTCATCGACGCGGTGAGGGTTCGGGTGCTGCCGTTGATTTTCGTCTTCTTCTGCCTCGTCCGAGTCGGTGTTTTCAGAGTCCTCTTCCGAGCCTGGGGTGACAACGTCACAGCGTAGGCCGTCAGCCAGGACGTCAAGGTGGAAGGCCGATATGTCTGAAAAGGGGTCGCCAATTTCCTCTGGGTAGCCGTCCGCGGTCATGGTCAGGGGGGATGCCGGGTCGTAATCGTAGAGCGTCTGCTTAACGAGCTGATCCAGTAGCCAGAGGAGGTGCTTGCAGGGCGGGCCAGCCGTTTGCTGCTGTTCCCGGCACGAGCACCGGGGCGTCGCGAAGGGGCTGTCGGGGGATCCTATACGGATGGAACGGGGCACGAGCTCCGTCATTTGAAAGGCGTAGACGTCGTCCCTGAGACGGCAGTACTGCAGCGAGAGGCGGGGGGGATCTTTGAAGGCCTCGCGGACGCGCAAGCGGGCGTCGTGGGAGAGCGTGTCGAGCTTGTAGACGAGCTTGGAGGGGGACCGGATGATGGAGTGGTCGTCGTCGTCGACGAGAGACGAGTCCGAATCGGACTCTGGCTCGGAGCTGCTGGAGCCGCCATCGTCGTCTATGTATCCGCCGCCGTCGTCCTCATCGTTGTAGTAATCTGAGGTGGTAATATCGCTGAGGGACTGCCGGTGCGCCTGGGCTCTGGTTGTGGGAGGCATCCTTCTTCCCAGAGAGAGCTCTCTGAATTTGGCTACGGGGGTGGGAGAGGATGATGAAGACATTTATGGTGTGTGAGGGAGCAGTTAAGTTCTATATGTTTCACAGAGCCTGCTGATGAAGAAGGGGTCTCCATGGTGAATCGGTTCACGGGTTACTTATAGGATCCAAAGGTCAGATGGCAGGGGGGGGATGGGAAGGGGGAAGGGAGAAAAGGGGGGGCGGAGTGAGGCCAACTGTGACAAGACCCCCAGAGACCCAATGCTAGTGCTAGTTGGCGAAGCTGGCGATGCTGGATGAGATGTTGGAGCAGGGGGGGAGAAGCGGGAGGAGGCAGATGAAGACATGACCAAGCCGAGTCCTGGGAGTACTCGCACACGAGTGGTGGGCGAGCAGGTCCCATGGAGATGGACGATATGACGCATAGCAGGAGGAGGGGTGCGGTAGAAAGGAGTAAGAGCAGAACCGAGGACGACTACTGGCCGGTTCGGGATCCCTCCTTTCCCAGCCCTGGTCTTGCGAGAAGTTGATCAGATCACCTTCTAGAAACAATTCCATTTTCTATACTTTTTTCCTTTCCTGCATCTTCACCCGGCCCCTGATCCTGGGATCGCTGTTGCTGCTGGGAAGAAAAATCAGGCGGGATGAGGTGGAGGGATGTGGGAGGTCGGCTCGCTCTGGCCGAGACCGAAGTCTGGATGCGCGCCGTGAGCTCAGCAACCATGCCGGGAAAGGCTGGATGGGCTTGGAAAAGATCGGGCTAGGGCGCAAAACAGTTGTCGCTGCGCAAAAGAGTTGGGACAAGGTTTTGGGTCGTGAAACTCCACATCAGGTGGTCGTAGAAGTTTGGGTAGAAGGGAAAGCAATGCAGAGTAAGGTCAGGGCCCAAAGAGAAACATCGGACTGCGCAGATCGAAGGTCTTTGCGCCGTGTGTGGCGTACCGGCGGCGCGCGCGTGGCATGGGGAGGAGCATTGATCTCTTCTTTTCCCATGTCCAGGGTCTCGGGGGAAAAGCTACGACGCATGAACAACGGGATAACTGACCGAGAAGGTCTCGTCTGGCGCGATTCATAGGACGAAGTACGGCAAAACGGGTGGAGGGAAGGAGGGACGACTCAACAAGGCACCGGGGGAAACGTAGAATGCGCTGTAACGATGAGATGTTGGAGCAGAGATACGTTGATTTCTGTGCTGTGGTTCGCCAGATTGCGATAAATCGTACTTTGACGATGACGATGGTAAGAAGAGAAGTGAAGTTGAGAGAGGCAGTATCCTGGCTGCCGGGGTGCTGGGTAAGGTACCCTGGCCCGGTTGAAGAGGTTAAAAGTGGAGTCGCGTCTATCGCCCAAAGGCCGAACCGCACGGCCGACCGCCGAAGGGCCGTCGTCCACCGTCGCGGTGCCGTGGGCTCCTGGGCAGCCTTCCATTCCCACCCAGAAATTCCCTTCCCAGGCTTGGAGTACATCCAGCCACGGCTCAAGCCACGAATGCGCTGCTGCCATTGGTCCAGAAAGGAGACCAGAATCCGAGTGCCCAATAAAAACCCAGGCATTCTCTGAACTGTCCAGTCACCGCTGCCTCTTGGGGCCTGGGGGCCGCGCAAACGGGCCGGTAGTGACCCCACCGTGGCTACGCCGAAAACGGGAATCACAGCCCCGAACGGGCCGGCCGCTTCTGCGACCACGAATATGTTCGCGCCCCACTTTCTTCCCTTTCTGACGTCCATCAGGCTCTGGGTTCCATGAGATATCCAACTTCACCAAATCACAGCCTTCTTCTGGCCGCATCACCGGCCGCATCCCTCCAACTGTCGCGGCCCTCTTCGACCCGGTCCATTTTGCTGTGCAGCGTGCTCCTACGACCGTCATAAACACCTCACAAGGCTTTCTTCGAAGCATAGGACCGCTGTTCCCTCTGTGGTTCCAAACTCCCGGGAATCGGTTGGAACGCCTTACAAGCCAGAAGGAAGGGGGTCCTTGGCCGAGAGGCCTCACGATGGTCCTGGTCTACCCTACCCTAGGCAGTTGGGTATTCGGACTTGTTCGGTGCAACCTAGAGCCAACCAGACTGGATCAGCGACAGGATCATCACGGTATCTTATTCGTCTTCTTGTACGGCTCCCGATAAACAGCCAATCACTTTGATCGACGATGGCGTGAATAGATTGAGGCCTGTTGGACTTGACATCGGCCTCTGCGACACTTCCTCAGCCGCAGAAGCCTTTGACGGACTGACCGGCAGTGCTTGACCAAAGCCAAGCATCAAAGGCTTTCCCATGGGTCCTTAGGCAGACGACAGGGGCAAAAGGGGCTTCGCAGGATCACTGGTAGAGGCATCTAGCGTCGTGATCTATTCATAGTCCGTGTAAGTGCTGTCGTGTCACTATGGGAGTTAAGAGTCATCCTTCAGACAGGCGCGACAGCCGCCTACGTGAACTTGTCTCTCAGGACTCGGCAATCTTCCAAACTTCAGAGCAAAACAGGGCTTAGGATGTGACGTATCTCGACAAAGAAAGTGTACCAAGTCTAGGCCGGGAATACCTGGGCAAGAGCAGGGCGGTGTCCCTTTATGTCACATGACGCCAGGCTGACGATGGTGATCGATGGATAAGTATGAAACTCGTAGTCACACAGTGATGATTGAACCAGCCTGGGAGGTATACCTAGCGGAAGTGCAGAGAGATTGCAATATGGTTTGTATTGGGATCACAAAAAGCCGCGCAATCGTCTCTTGGGCGGAAAGTGGTGGGTTTAAGGTTACCGGCACAGGGAGGCCATCTGATATCTACTGCCGAGCGCAAGATGCCCTGAGCTTCGGCCACTTCGTAGCGCACACTTTGGCCTATCCCTTTCGGAACCACGTGCAGTTTCTGCTCATCAGTCAAGTAAAGCTTCCGCTTGCAGAACTCTGATTCATACCTGATTGATAACGACCTCACAATGACTCTGACATTTCAGAGTTTGATGCAACTGGCAACATTGATAGCAAATCATAGAGTCATGTTGTCTAATGGCCAAATCAGTTCCTGCAGCGGATGTCGTTCCTGGTAAATGAGAGATTCTGAAATTATTGTCTGAACTCTTCACAAAAATACTGTGCCTCTTCTGAAAAGAAAAGGTTTGTTCTCGATCAGGCGACCTCCTGTCTTCCCAACACCAATCCTTTACGAAAGGTGAGTCTTACGATGCGCAGCCTACTTGCGGGACTTGACCGACCACGTCTTCTCCTCAAATCGAACCACGCGACCTGAAGTGTGGCCGGACTCAAACACCTGCCTCCCAAGAACAACATCCATAATGACCCCAATCTGGAGCAAAGCCAAACAACATGTAAGAATGCCACACAGCTGCGTGATAACGGGCTTATAGTCAGCGTGAACAGCATATACAGTAGGCATAGCCGCCAGAGACCAACCCGCAACGTAACAAAAGGGCAGTATCGGCAGCACAAAGACGCTCTTCCACCCGTTGAACCACTCGCGGTACCGGTACGTCATGGCGATGCCTAGGAACACGGCCGAGACGTTGCAGAATGCCCACCAGCAGGGGAACAAACTAAACAGCACGAGGGGTTGGTGGCCGTAGTAGAGGTATAGCCCGCCGTAGTTGAGCAGGCACTCCTCCAGTACGACGTCGAACAGACCCGCGAGGCCAAGAAACACCAGCAGCGTCTTATTGCTGACCCCGCGCATGAGCGCGCCAAAGATGGTGCATCCGAGCACGGCGCCAAAGGACCACCAGATGATGCCGACGTACAGATCGAACTCGCGGCCGAGAAAGGTGAACATGAGCTGGGACGGGTCGTGTGACTGCGACCAGTAGCAGTTTGCGAGGTAGTTGTCCACGGCCTCGGGCAGAACGCAGGTCGCGGCGCCGAGGGTCAGGGCCGTGGGCACGGTGGAGGACCAGCGCTTGCTCTCTGCGATGGAGATGAGGACGAAGATGAGGGAGAGGGTGAGGAGGATGGCTGATACGACGCGGACGTGTGATGCGTCTTGTGCGAAGGCGTCGTTTGGGGGGGCGACGGTTCGGAACGTCGAGTCGAATGAGACTTTGACTTGGGCATTCTGGGCGAATGTGAGTGGCAGCATCGAGAGGAGTGAAGCTGCGGTGAGGACCGGCCGGCTGAGAATCTGTTTCATGTTGGAGTTCTGTTGTTCGGGGAGTGAGGATGTAAGACGATGTACAGTGTGGGTGAGATTCGAAGAGTTAGGTAAGGTCGAATAGTCGAAGAGTGTCACACCTAGGATTTGGACTTCGGAAGCCTCGTTACAAGTGAAGATGTCTTTTATACATCTCCATACGGCTGCGCTGTTCCGAGTTCGTAAGCTCGGGACCGAACGAACCCGTCCAGCGTGAGGCTGTGGTCGGAGATTTCCCACATGCAGGTATCCGACCATATCCGCAGAGCCCATTGCCATGTTGCCACAGAAGTTGAAGAAAATTATTGAGATGACGTATCAATAGGCCATCTCAGAGAAGCGGGACCCAGAAAGTTGCCGCGAGGTCTTGCGACATGCTTCCACGATACCAAAAGTGGTAGTTCGGAGCCGAGCTTGCGATGTGAACGATGGATTAGTATTTGGCCCCGAATAGACTGCAATTCGCCTCTAAATACGAACCGCTGAGGATGCAGTTCATTGAACGAATCATTTCGAAAGCAAGTCCAGCATCTCGATCCCATGTCGTTCCTTCGTTATTCCTCAAAAAAAGCCTGTGGTCAAATTACCCGGCCTGAAGGCGTATAGCCTCTTTATATAACACATTCCTGCTGCGAGGTATGAGCACGCCCAAACTCCATATACCCCAATCTATAGCCGGACTCTACGACGAAAAAGAAAAACAACGACTGTAATGAAATGGGTATAACACATCGCCTACATCACCTTGCCCCGGCGATCCCCCGGCTCTCCTTGCGCCCCTTTTTCTTCCCTGTCGCCAGCAGAGCATTCCGCCGGCGGTAGAACTTGATCAATTGAGTGGTTCGAGTGCGACATGATATCAATCGTTGTACGGACATTGATGACCGGCCGGTCGCGCGCCTGCGTCTCCTGGACGTGGCTCCTCTGACCGAGATCAGAAGACGGCCTCGACGCGTCGTACTCCTCGTACTCGTCCCGCCCGTCGTCCCGAACCGTCTTGTTCAGCTCGATATCGGACCCGGTGCCGGACAAGGCCCGGTCAATGTCATTGAATGTCCGTACGGTGGAATTCGAGTTTTCGGATTTGCCTCCCCTGGCGATGGCGCCGGACGTTTCTTTCGTTCCTGGGTGGCCGCTCGTATTGACCCAGCCCGCGCCAGACGGACGAGATTGTTTGCTCTTGTTGCTCCATCCAAAACCCCAGTTCTGGAAGAGAGGCCGAAGACTGGTGACCGAAGCCGCGATGATGCCTAGCGCCGGCTCCAGGACACTCCAGATGGCGACGTCGCTGTGGAGGGGAAAAGGTTAGCCAGGTGCTCCTGTCAAGTCAGACATTTGGGGTCGTACATTGTTTCGTAGAGGAAGTCTGCCGAGATGGCGAGACGTCTCACATATGGTATACGTACTATAAGAGCAACGCCAGCACTAGATGTTTGTTAGCAACAGGATGCTCCGCCACGGTATTGAGGATATCTTGACTTACACCATGCCCATACTCAAAAGAACAGCAACAAGTGCCTTTGTACGCCGGTTCAAGTTGACGTTCCATAAGAGGGCAATCGGCAGCAAACCCATGCACCAATCTGATATCGCCGAGATGATGCTGTGTGCAATGGTCGCGTCCGGGACTATGTTGAAGTTAATACACGACCCCGGGTCTCCGTACAGCTGCCTCCAAAAGTAGGATGGAGGCATGCACTGGAAGGTCATGATGCAGAAGAAGGCGATGGAGATCATCCAGACGACGACGAGGTTGGCGTAGATGATCCAGCGGTGAACTTTGTTGAGAGCGAGACGGAGGAGGAGGAGACAGATCGAGGTTCGGATCGCCAGCGTTATCGGGGAGTATAAGACTTCGCAGATGTACCAGGCTCTGAGGGAGACGGCGGCTTGGTCGACCGTGAGTTCTGTGATGTGTTTTCCTGTGGCACCGTTGGTGATGCCGTGGAGGGCGATGCCACCGTATGCTGTGTAACCAAGCTGCGAGATGTTCATGTAAGTGGCAAGTAGGGAAAAATGAGAGGGTCGGAAACAGTACTAACCATGGCCCCGAATATAAGCCAGTCATCGACGGCTAAGCTCTTGACGATGCATACTTTAACGTAGGCTCTTGCCAAGACAAAGAAGCCGGCCGCGAGCATAAAGGACAGCTGGACAGCAAAGAGCTGCATGCCTCTGTATTGGATATCATCGTGCGGAACTCGTGTTTCTAGTGAGCCGTCCATGTTGTAAGTCGAGATGGCGAAGTATGGCTCAGGCAAAACACCAGAGACATCGGGGCTCCCACTGACACGGAAACGCGGATGGTGAGATCTTATAAGCCCTCCCACTCTCAGCCTGGCGTATGTGGCCCAACTTGCGCCATCCCATATGTGAGAAAAGAATACTCAGTGGGGGGTAGGGAGCTCAGAGAGGAAAAAGAAAACACCCATACATGTACCGGTTCCCCACGAGGGGACCAGGTCTTGAGAGTGTATCTCTCTCTCAACTACTTTAGATTGAAACACCCCAGGCCCAAATCGTGTTCTTCTCCATCTAAAGATTGCATGTTCCAGAAAACCTTCTTTTACAACGAAATTTCGCTT